GTATGTACTTCTTAATTTTGCAGTCATTTTTTCATGTGGAGTTATCTGTAGTTTCAGAAAGGTAAAGTGCCTCACCTTTTTTTCTGCAAAATACATCACATGTTTAATGCTACTTTTGGAAAATTTCCAGGTCATTTTAATTCCCTATAGTAATACTTGAGCTGTGTATGCTAAGCCAGAATCCAAAGCAAGTGGTGGTCTAAGTTATATATTACTTGGGAGTTGAGGGAAAGTCAGATTTAGGGTAACTAGTAAGAACTGAAGTGGCTGCTGTCTTGGCTCTTGGTGAAACTCCTGCTGTGCTAATGACTGCAGTTATTTTTGACCCTGATGTTGATACTTGTTTCTCCACACATAATTGCTGTGATCTGATTTACAAAGAAAAAGCCTGTGATGGTACACAGATGTATGGAAAATTATAGTTTGTCCTGGATTCTGGTATTTTTGCTTTGTTTGGAAAATGGAAATGCCCACTGATTTCTGTACAGGCTGTGGCAATCAATGGGCATGCTGCTGTATTGTGACATTGTCAATTGAAATTAAGGTGTGTGGATGAAATATTGCACAGTTGTACAGAATACTGCAGTATTCCCACTACTCGGACATAACTGGGTGGTAGGGAAACAGATCATTTTCTTCTAACTCAGCTAACCAACACAACCTCCTCTGGGATTCTTTCTTAGTTTAAGATTTGTGTGTTCTTCTGTTGTATAGTTTATTTTGGCATCCAACTCAGATTTGATGTGTGATTGTGTAAAAGAGCGTGGAAGAGAGACAGAAGGTTATCAGCAAGGCCACTAGTCTATTAAGATTGGCTGATGCTTCCTACTGTTACTATTCCTTCCCGTGTTTTCCATGACACGTGTTCAGTTCACTCTGTGTATGTAACTTCAACACAGAAGCTCCAACTAGAACTGTTGAGACACTTCCAGAAATTGTAATTTTGCTGATGTTCAAATGCGTAAGTTCTTAAAAGCTTGTCTCTGAAAATCATGAACGCTCCAACACTTTAGAGGAGGCAGGGATGTAGCCTTTCAGTTGCAGATAGATCATCTGCCATTCACAAACTTAAGCAACTATTGAATCTTTTGGAAAAGAATGCTCTATCTGTGTTCACTGGCGACTCTGTATTCAGTGACATTCATTAAAAAGATGTTTCACTCAGCTTTCTCAACCCTAGCAGGTCTTGGTGGGTTCTTCCCAAAGCTACAGTCAAGACTTCCCCTTAGAGAGTCTGTTTTTTGCTGCTCTGGGTGCACGTAAGGATGTGTCCCTCTGTTTAGTAGTCCCTGAGTGTCCTTTCCTGAAAAGTTGTCTGATTTGAATTGACAGGAAACTAAAGGTAAGAAAGAGAAGAGAGAGAAATAAGAGCTTTGATGAGGCTGGATCTGGAAGGGACACATCACTGGAGGTCAAAAGGAAAGATTACCATGAGCTATCATAGGAACCTGGTATCAGGAATGGTACTTGAGTGTGAGACTGGGCAAGAAGTTTGCATGTAGAAAGTAAAGCTTATGTGGGAATACACAGTAGAAAAAGATTGAATGGATGTGTTAGAGTAAAATGAAACAGAATTGATTCAAATTTGGCCTATGAGATGTAAGAGTGTAGAATCTTTCTAATACTAAATGTGTTTCTTAGAAATTCAGTAACAAAATATCATTCTTTCAGAGGATGCTGTTATGCCTCAGCACTGCTGCGCATCAAAACATAAACCCTGTAATTTATGCATCCATATAAATCAGCAGGCATGTATGTTCTTGGTTGTAGTATATTTGTCTCTGGATTAAGGCCCAAGGAGTTGTATTGTTGACACCCTAGCTGGTGTGCTTAATTTTCTGAAACTATGTGTATTTAAGATAATTATTGGCTTACTGCAGGTACACAGTACCATTGTACAACTTCTCTTTTTGCTTCTAAATGAAGCTCAAGCAGCATAAATATACCTCCCTTCACATTAGGGTCTTAGGTTTATTAGGTTTTGTTGCTGATTGCAATTAAAGCTAAACGTTTTTAGTGAGGAGTGCCTGCTGCCAGATTCATCACTGCATCAGATAGTTTTTATCCCAGATCTATAAAATATGGCCTGCATGGTGACTAAGGTAGTTGTGCTCTACTCTTGTTTGTTTACAGAGTGTCATGTGTGCTGCATGTCAATCATTTCTCCATAGTTAAAGTTTTAAAAAAATCCATGAATTAAGAATTGCAGACTTGAAAGCACTAAAAAGGGGTGAATATTTTTGTTTCGGGCCTGCTGTGTACACATACCTTACATATAAGGGTATTCCATTTGAATTTAATAATCTCTATAATGTTTCCTTTTAGCAGAGCCTTCAGATTATGTATTCATTCATTTAGAATATGTTCAGATTTTGAAAGCAATGCTCAATGCCACTACTTTTAAAAGGTATCTCCTCACTTGGAAGTACAAGAGTCGGGTGTTTTCTTGCTTGGGCATTCATTTCTGTGAAGTCCAGCTAAGTTCAAACAGCTTTTTAAGGTATTCTGCAAATGTAGTTATGACTGTTTCACTAGGATGCACTTTTAGTGTGCTATGTGGCAGGTTTGAACACTTTTAGATAACAACTGGTTTAATTTCTGAGTGTAATTTAAGATAGAACCCATATGTTGAAACAGTTTAATATTCTGCCCATTTTGTTAACTCAGTGTAATCTCAGTGCTCACTGAGTTGCAGTACATTTTTTGTAGAGGCTAAATGGGTTGAGTAAACCTAAGATGTCCCTGGAGCTGGCTGTTTTTTAATATTCTATAATTTTGAAAATTACTTCTAGATAAATAATTGCATTTCAGTTACCTTAAATGAAAAGCCTGGACTCTGTGTATTTTAAAAAAAAGAAAATTTTATGTAGGTTATGTAGTTTCTGGGTTTTTTTCCAGGAGTACAGAAAGAATCTTGATTTGAGTTAGCAAAATAATGTTGTGATAAAGGGGGTTTGTTTAATAAGGTGTCTTGCATAGAATTATCCTATTTTTTTTGTTGTTCATGGACCATAACTTCTTTTGTGACATTTCTTTGCAGCATTAAATCATCTGTTAAAAGTGCTTGTTCCATATCATGATCTTGCTTTTATGAAATATTTGAAAGTCTTTCTTCAAAATGCTTTCATTTATTTGACAAACAGATTTTCAGTAAATTGAATGATAGTGTATTTTGAGAAATCTTTGATTCTGCATTGTAATCCAGTAGTTCAAGGATTCTCCTCCCCCTTTTCTTCTTTTTGGCCTGTGCTTTTCTTATTTTGAGAGGTCCATCACTCTAATGTTTGGGGAGGGGGAGAAATTGAGTGAAAAGGAGATTAATTTTTGAAAAGCATTTTAAATGCTCTGTCTCAGGAATGTCTCCCCCTTGCCCAGCGTATGGCAGGGAGCTGTTACTCACAGTAAGTAGATTACTTCTGAGTACTAATGTAAATTAATAATGATGTAATGAAGAGCCTACTGCATGAGGCAGTTCCAATTACTTTTGCAATACTTTGCAACCATCAGGCTAACAAATAGTTCTTACTTTGAAAAAGATGACAAAAATCTAGTGTGAGAATACTTCTATTTGTAAATAAGCAGCACAGTCTAAAGAGTAGCTGCTTTCAGATTTGTTTGGACAAAACCTACCAGATTTAACTTGCGAGCATCAGTATAAAATGATTGATATGTCTTGTGATTCAGGCCTCCTGTTCCTCATAAAGGTAGCTAGCAGTGAAGCTGCATGGAGCCTGTAATAGTAAGCCTCCTCCCCACCACAAGAACACCTGCTTATTTATTTAGCAAAGAGGCTGTTACTTTTGGAAGTAAAAGGAAAACTGCCAGCCTGGTGAGTACTGAATTTCTTCAGTAAGCAGGTCCATAAGTTCAGTTCACCTTTGTTTGAATTAATGATTCCAAGATTGTAAAAATGATGGTTATTTGGGTTGTTAGAAGAGACATGGTTTAAGGTGGTTTTGGAACTGAAGTAGCTGCTGCACTGCCTCCTTGAAAAAATATGGTAGTATGGACATATCTTTGTGTAGGTATCACAGGGAAATCTCTTGTCCAGAAATGCAATGTGAGCATTGGTGTGGGTATATGTACTCAGGAAGAAGAGAAAATGAAGGTGAAAGTTAGCTTCTTTCATTTCATTTTGCCAGGAAAAGGTAGCATAGTTTTAGGGATGTTATTTTTTGAAATGTGTTAAAGTATGAGATCTAAAAAAGCTGGAATAATAATGATTAAGATTATTCTCTTGCCTTTTACGTTGGTGTGGCTTCAAAAGAAGTAACATCATGGTTTACACTGTTGTAAATGAAGGGAAGCTCTGTTGTTTTTTTCCTTAAAAAAAACCCACAAGAAAACCCCAAAACCAAATGCACAGAATTATCTTGTTTGTTAAAGTAACATTTTAAGTGAAAAAAAAAATAATCCTTTTGTGTTCTGACTCTTTTTGTGCTGTTTCTTTTCATTTCTGAAAGTAAATGTGCTAAACATGAAATTTTTTTCTAAGTCAAAAAGAACAGGAGGAAATTAATCTAAGCAGGGACTAATTTAGAAAAGCTAGTAGCCTGTGAGCCCTGACATTAACATGCAGATTCCTGCTTGACTTGGAGTCTCTGTAAGTTCTTCTCTAACTGTTCTCCTGTCTCTGTTTGTTCCATGCTAAGCAGATGGCCCAGAAATTAGCCAAAAGCAGGAAGAAGGTGCAGTACAAACTCCATCAGCTTGATGTTATGCTTGTTCTTTTGTTTTCTGGGGCGGTTTTTTGCTTTTCTTTTTATTTCGTGGTTTTATTTTCTGCATCCAGCAAGGTTTTTTCAGATTTATTTCTGAGCCACCATACAAGTTGACATTTCTCAGAAATCAGTTGCCTGATTGGCCATTTTTTGTTGCTTATCATTAGCCATTTCATGTTAGAAATAGAATAAAGATTGGATTTATCAAACAGTTACAGGCAGTACCCAAAATGTGTACTGAAGAATTGGGACTAACATGGCAAGGGTTTTCAACTCTGTGAAATGATAGATTAAAATGGAGTTTGTTTTGTTTGAGTTTTTTTTTATTAATTTTATCTTTCTGTAAAAGTGCTTTTTTTGCTTCACAGAGGTATGAAATTGCTGGATGCAAAAAAGAAAAAAGTTTATGTATATACATATACTGAGATTGACTCATCTTTGTAATAAGTTTTGTTTGTGGAGCTTTTAAATATCTTAACAAATGTAACTCTTTTTTAAAGAATGAGTGCTTTCTGTTAACAAAATATTGCTTCTAAAGTGGGTTAGTGCTTGAATAGTATGTTTTCTGACTCTGAAGGTCTTCTTAACAGAACTGCGTTATGAATTGTTTAAAGAGTACCCACCTGTTATACAGGTTTTTCTATTGATCTTGGCAGTCATTGTTAGCCTGTATAGAAATTCCTCACGCAAGAGATGCTGTTAGGCCTTTCTATGGCTTGTGTGAAAACCTTCTTGAAAGTGGGATTCATAGTGTGTAGGAAATGATAGAATAATTTTGATTTTCCTGAAATCTTTATATAGTTCATGTTGCAGTCAGGTATAATTTTACGGAATCAGGAAAGGTATCAGCAAGGCTTTTATGAGGTTAACTTTTTTTCGAACAATACCCAATTCACTTTCACATATATGATATAGTTTCCACATCTTTCTGTTTATCTTCTGCTTCTGCAGTCTAATACTCTATCCTGCATTGCTGTTCTGGTGACTGTGTCTTAGTGCACTCCTGTTCATGAGCTAACATAATTAGTAAGTATGTTACCTAATGTGTTTGTTTGACTCTAACCCATTTATTTGCAGGCTCCAGAAGGTGAATCTCAACCTATGACTGAAGTGGACCTCTTCATTTCTACACAGAGAATTAAAGTACTGAATGCAGACACACAGGTATAGACATACCTTTGTCAGTATTCTGGTAGTAAGCTACTGAAATAGACTTCTACCTACATGCCAAAATTTGTCCTTCAAAATGTGCTGACTGTTCTATTTCCCTCTGGGATTTCCTAGTAAGAAATCCATAGTCAAGAACTGTGTCATACATGCAATTACTCTCGTGTGTCTGACTGTAGAAATTATTAGAATTTGTCAGTGAGCTAATGGCAGTCCACTCACTTCTTATGAGCCATGATGCGTCAAATATTGATTGTGCCCAGAGTAGCCCAAAATGTTCAGTTGTGATAATTTGTTCATAGTCCTCTACACATACAGCCACAGCATATGCAGGTTCTGATAATGACATGTTTATGAGCTTTTCCACAGAAAAAAACCCAACCTTTAATTTAGAAAATTTTCTCTTTGTTTTACTTTTGGAAAGGGAAGCTCTTGTTTTCTATTGACATCTGGCCTCATGCATGACATCTATTACAGATTTTCCTTAACAGAGGTCTTATTGCTATTTGTGACTTTTCATGTTACTAGATGTGCAATAGGAATTTTCTTGACACAGCTGCTTATGTTGGATTTCTTGTTTCTCAGGAAACTATGATGGACCATCCCCTGCGGACCATTTCTTACATTGCTGATATAGGAAATATAGTTGTTTTGATGGCTCGTAGGCGAATGCCACGGTCCAACTCCCAGGATAATGTGGAAGCATCTCACCCTTCTCAAGACGGAAAGAGGCAGTACAAAATGATTTGCCATGTCTTTGAGTCTGAAGATGTAAGCAATTTCTCTGTCTTGTAATTTTCTAGTGGTGGAAAAGTAAGCATATTTTGGTAGGCCTGAAGTCCATTGTTAAGTGATCCTGTTTGCTTTTTAACTGCAATCAAATATTTCAGCTAAGCAGAGAAACTTGCCTTCTGTTTACATGTTTGAACCTGACAGTTTACTCAAGATACTGATGTTAATGGAAAAGCTTTCCATTCTTAAGTTCCTTGACTGCCTTCCTGTAACAGAGAGTCCAGTTGATGCAGCTTACAAATAGCAGCTCAGATTCTGCATAAGAGAGCAAAAGTCTATCAGAGATGCTTATATTCCTTGCATCAAGTCTTGCATTCAGGATCAACTGCTGATACATACTAGAAAGGTTTTGGTTTTTTTTTTTCAGGAGACTTGTGTTGTGGGGTTAGTTGCTGTCATCATACCAAAAAACCAGCAGAGATAGTTGGTAATTTCAGCAATCCCAAAATGTGCTAAATATAGACATGGATGAGTAAATATTAGCCTGTGGTTCAGGTTACTAAGTTACCTCACATAGGGCTTGATAGCCTGTCTTCACAATCAATATGTGTAACTTGCTGAATTTATGTGCTTTTGAAAGTTCAGTAACTGAAAGGTTCTTCCTTGTGGAGGGAGAATATTGCCCTGAATTTTTTCTATAATATTTGATGATGAATCTGTTCTAAACCCTTGTATGAAGAAATTATCTGTTTGCAGATAATTTACATGCATCATCCCCTGCTGAAATTAAAAAGTAAGGACAAGGGTGCTGATAGAAGTAATACTGTACCAAAATTGTGACAGAGACTATAATACAAAATAACATGTAAACCAGTTTTGCAAAACCTGTCAAAAATCTGGTGTGAAATAAAGAGACTAGCTAGTGTGTTTTGTGCAGCCTTGATATACTGCATGCTTTGAGGCTGCCTTTACTGTATGTCTAGTCACAAGTTTGGACACTGCTTGCTGTCTTACTGGCCAGTTGAAAAGCAAAAATCAAACTGTCAGATGCCAGAGGCTGCAGTTTATTTTACTTCAGCATGTGGTGGTCTGACTTTTGGATAATCCAGACTTCCTGAATCTGTTTCCCAGACTGGTATTAGTACTTTGGCTAGCTGGAATCTATGCTTTCCTGTCTGTAGTTTGTTTGGATCAGCCCATATTTGTGTCAGATGTGATCCTCTCTATGCCACTAGACATTGCCTGGAAAGAATGCACCTGTAGATCCAATAAAAGCATTGCTCATTGATGTGAAAATATGCTGAGAAATATGCAAGATTATATCAGCTCTCCTTAGTCATGCTATAGTTCATAGATAGCTTGCAAAATTTATCTCAAATACCCAAGTGAGTTATGAGTCAGAATGAAATTGTTGTAGCACCTTGTTAGTAGCAAGGAAATGGCAGCTTCAATGATCTTGTACATCCAGTAAAGTAATACAGCTTGTTTATATTATAAAACTTCAGCATGTGTGATTGCCACCTTTTCTTCTTCTGGTACAGCTGGGTATTTGGAAGAATTTGCTCAGTAAGTGAGACAGAAGCTGTAAGCCCACAAATAGGTGTTTACTGTAATATATTTCTGCTTGGATGAGTCCCTGTCTAAGGAGGATAGCACCGGATTTTTCAACTGTATTTAGAGCTGTATCTTCAAATGAGCTGAACCCTGGTGATGTGTCCAAATGCTGAGTATCTAAGAAAGATCTCTTCCTCGAGTGAAGATACATGTGTATGAATGTAAAGTCCACATTTATCTCCTCACTTAGGTTATGGAGCTGGGTTGATCTCAGCTTTGTTAATATACTGCCAGTCTACATATTGGCCTGTTCAGCACCAGCAGTCATACTGTTCTTATCAGCAGGTTTAGTGCTACTTTGAGTTGCTTTAAGATACAATAAAATTTTGATTTCAGGGTTGGGAACCTTTCCTTTATTAGGGACCAAACTGCCAGTAGGCTATGTAAGAGTACACCTGAACAGTATTCATTCATCACCAGCACTCCCTCAGGCTTACCTTCTCAGTTCTGCAGCTCTCCCCCTCTCTTCCCTCCCTCTCCTACAGTAAAACAGCTCACAGTGGGAGCAGCACAGTGTAGAGAGTGCCAGATTTGGTGGCTTTGGGTGCAGAGAAATTGAAATCTGCAGGTGCAAGAGGGTGCCTGCAAAGGCCAGGATGAGTAGGAAGAAGGCAGAGAGCTGGAGTTGGAGGGAAGGAAACAAAAAAATGCAGGAGGGAGATGCTGAAGGAGGTAGTAGGGTGAAGAAGGAGAGGCATGTAACCATTTCCAATCACTTCAAGGCCTGGATCCACTCACTAGTTGCTGCCCTTTTTCCTGTTTCATCTGAGGCTGAGGTAGGAGCAGTCAAAGTCAACATGATGGTTTTAGAGGACAGTAAGAAAAGGGGGAAGTAGCCTCTTAAATGCGGTTGTGTGTTTTCTAGTAGACATTTTCATTTTCACTGCTAGCTTGTCACAGAGTGGCATTGCCTCTGCTGGAAGGGAGAGCCATCTGGAAGCTGCATGTATGGGAAGAATTGTAGGTGCAAGCCACAGTCACTGCAGTGGCTGTACCTTTATAGATCCATTAGCAGTTCTTGCCTGCCAAAGTACAGCTTTAGTTCTCATATTTCTCCTTCATAATTGTTTACTGAGCTGTATTCATGGCAGAAGTGAATGTATTGACATTTTGTGGGGCTTCTAAATTAATTTGTAATGCACACATATTGTTTAGACTGGATTGCAGTTACTTGTAGATTTGTCAACTTGATAATCCATTTTACGTTGTGATTGTAACAAAGCGTCAGTGGACATGACCATCAGAATGTTTAACTTTTTTCTCTTCTCTTTTCTGGGACCTGCTAAAGGCACAGCTGATTGCACAGTCCATAGGTCAAGCATTTAGTGTGGCATACCAAGAATTTCTGAGGGCAAATGGAATCAACCCAGAAGACCTTAGCCAGAAGGAATATAGTGACTTGCTCAATACCCAGGACATGTACAACGATGACCTGATTCACTTCTCCAAATCTGAGAATTGCAAAGAGGTATGTCTCTTTTTTTTCTTTTCCCCCATAACAGTATTAACCTGCTCTGTATCAGTTGCAGGGTCTTGTTGGCAGAAATCACAAAAACATGAATGCTTTCTATAAATAACCTCAGTGACTCTAGAATATTCTCCCTAATAGGACACTCTGTCATCAGTTATGTTTCAAATGCAGTGAACCCAAAATTTATCAGTAGTGAAATGATTTACCATCTGTTTCTGTTCTTTTTACCAAACAATTTTCAGACATGTTTGAAAGTGAATTTAAAACAGTATAACAGATTAATACAATTTAAAAGATTACAGTAAACAACACAGAATTTACATATGTGTTTATGAAAGTGGCTGATTCCAAATTTAAAGCAATTGTATTTGCCAGAAGGATTTGCAGTTGGTATAATAAAAAGCAGTGTGCCACTCCAGTTTCCTCTGCTCATATACAGAGAAGAGTTGTGAGAGGTGTTTTTCACTAAGTAAAATATATATCATTTAGTGTTTGTTATTTAATGTCTGAATACAAATGAAGTGTTGTAAGGTGTGTACCCTATTTTGTTTTGCCTCTGAATTAGGAAGGCATGTTGCAAACAAGGAATGATATGTTTGTTGATTATATGAATATTTGAAGGGGAATGATGTTATTCAGCTCCACAAGTGTGAAAAAAGTTTTTTTTGAAACGCTTTTTCTTATTATACAGGTTTACATTGAAAAGCAAAAGGGAGAAATCCTAGGAGTGGTGATTGTGGAGTCTGGCTGGGGATCCATTTTGCCTACAGTTATCATAGCCAACATGATGCATGGAGGACCAGCAGAGAAGTCTGGGAAGCTGAACATAGGGGACCAGATAATGTCAATCAATGGGACCAGTTTGGTTGGCTTACCACTCTCAACTTGTCAGAGCATTATAAAGGTAGGGAAGATGTTTCTGGAAGCTACACATTTTAAACAGGTTACATAATAGGAGAAGAGAAAGTATTGAACTCTTAAGTAAGTTCTTACCGAATGTTTACATAGCACTTTCCATTTTGTGATCTTTAACATACAGTGGGAATTATGCTATACCGATTTTCTAACTCCACACAGAATCACAGAATGGGTAAGGGTGGAAGGGACCACTGGATGTCATCTAATCCAACCTTCCTGCTCCAGTATGTTACTCAGGATTGTGGCTTTTGAATATCTCCACAAAAAGAGATTCCACAGCCTTTCTGGCAATCTGTTCCACACTCAGTCATGCTTACAGTAAAGAAGTTCTTCCTCATGTTCGGGTGGAACTTTCTGTGATCTAGTTTCTGCCCATTGCCTCTCATCCTATTGCTCAGAACCACCAAAAAGAGCCTAGCTCTATCTTCTGGACACCCTCAACTCAAATACCTTAGTGAGATCCCCTCTCAGTCATATCTTGAGGCTGAATAAGCCCAGCTCCCTCAGCCTTTCACAGAATCATGGAATTATTTTGGTTAGAAAACACGTCTGAGATCATTAAGTCCAACTGTTTATGGTTTCCTCAAAAGTGAGGTGCTCCAATCCCCTAATTATCTTTGTAGCCCTCTGCTAGTCTTACTTCAGGAGCTCCATGCCTCTTTTGTACTGAGGAGCCCAGAACTGGACACAGCACTGCAGATCTGGCCTCTGCAGGACTGACTAGAGGATCACCTCCCTCGACCTGCTGGCAGTGCTTTTCCTATTGCACCCCAGGATAGCATTTGCTTTCTTGGGCACAAGGTCACACTGCTAGCTCATGGACATTTTGTTGGCCACCAGGACCCCAAGCTCTTTCTCTGCAGAGCTGCTTTCCAGCAGGTCAGCCACTTGCTGATACTGGTGCCTGGGATTATTCCTCCCCAGTGCAGGACTCTGCATTTGCTCTTGTTGAATTTCAAAACATCTGCTCATCTCTCTTCACTAGGGAGTATTTTGTTCAGAAGGAAGATATTACCAGATGCGCACTTGAAATTTTATGTGACAAATGGAGGCACAGGTGCCTAATGTTGTCCTAGGCCATATTAGCTGTTAAATGCCTCCTAGTATCTGGATGAATTACAGTTGATGTTTTTTTTGTTTCTTTGTTTATGCATATTTTTAAAACTTTAAAACTTTGAATTAAAGACATACTTACCCTCTGTGGAATCTTTGCCCAAGTTACTTAAAAGTCTGGTGCTTCTCTTCACTTGGGTAAATGGGATATTTTAATTAGAAGAGCTTTCTTCTATTTGTCAGAAAGGTATGTGACTGCAAAAAACATGTAGGTCATCTGGAACTGAACAGTGTCTGTGGTAGCTATAGCATACAAGGGAATAAGTATTTGAACATCACAGTTTGAAGAGCTGGAAAGGTGCATTGCTAGGGATTGTTTGAGATGAAGCTGTATGAACTCAGTTATTTATTGAAACAGCCTCACGGAGCTCCTGCAAATCATCACATGTAGACAGATAATATAATGCTGGTGGTATACTATACAGACATCCTTCTCTGATTTCTAGGAATATTCCTGTTACACTTACTCATTTAGACAACTTTCTGCTAACAAGCTGTATTATGTAACACTGGTTTTGCAATTTGTATTTTTTTTAATTGCTAAGTAAATTTTCCATTTGCAAAGTAAATTTGCCAAGTTAAAAAAAATATCAAAGTTAAGTTGTTTTTTTTTCTACACAGATTATATCTTAATGCTTGAACTAAGGTGTTTGCTATAAAGACTTCCCATTCTGGTTTCCCAAAATACTGAGTTCTGATGAGTAATAGATGCATAAGTCACTGAACCAGCCATTTTAGATTCAGTGAGTAAAAATGATAGCCTGGAAGTGTGTCGTACTAAGAACATGGCAAAAACAGTTTTACATTTGTGAAGGAAAGAAGGAAAAAGAATTGTATTAAATATTTTTGTGTCAGCTGCAGTGGAACAAAACTCCCTTCAAATTTAGACTCTTCATGTTAGCCATACTTGTTTCCTATCCTACATCAGTTTTATTTCTAAAATTGTGATGAGTTTATTTCTCTTATTCAGAGCCTTTTCTGGTGGAGTTTAATTGTGCTTAACAACATTTTCTCAATACAGAAACAACCAGCTTTGCTGTTTCCAGCTTCTACGGACCTTTCTCTTCTTACTGCAGTTTCCATAGGAACTGCTTGCCATTTATTTTGTCTTGCTAAAGAGAAGATAATCTGTATGTTTGTGGGCTTGCATAACCACACATCTGGAGCTGTTCATATAGCACTTCTGGAAACAAGTATATATACCACAGAATGATCTGAGCACACGTTTAGATGTGGCAGAAATAACTTAGGACTTCAGATTTCTTTAGCATGCTGTAAAGACTTCTGTGAAAAGATGATAATATTATGTGGATAAATATATCTCACAAGCACTTCAAACAAGATAATTTCAGTATTATGGATGTAATCTCTGCTACTAATTGACCATGAACCAATTGCAAACTGACAGAGCTTGGAAGGAAGTTTTTGTGTTGTGACTATTCTCTAATAGGTTTATACTACTTGTTTCCTTTCAGAAGCATACTCATGGACTAGATAAACAAATAAAGTTCCTCAAAGTATGCAATTGATTTGTTTCTGATCAGCTTATATTACCAGTCTTCATAATATTAAAATTAGCCACTTTTGAAATATATGTTAGGGATGTTTTTATTCCCCAAGGAACACATATCAAGAACTTGCACGTTCATCAGGGAAGTAAGAGCATAATGGCCTCTTCAGCCTTGAGAAGAGACAACTGAGAGGGGACCTCATCAATGTGTATAAGTACCTGAAGGGAGGGTGTCAAGAAGACAGAGCCAGGCTTTTCTCAGTGGTGCAGACCAATAGGAGAACAGGCAAGGGCAGAAACTGATTCACAGGAAGTTCCATCTGAATACTAGGAAGAACTTTTTTTACTATGCAAGTAGTGACTGTGCACTGGAACAGATTGCCCAGAGAAGTTGTGGGTTCTCCCTCACCAGAGGTATTCAAGAACCATCTGGAGACAATCCTATGCGATGTGGTCTAGGATGACCCTGCTTGAGCAGCAAGATTGGACCAAATGATCCACTGTGGTCCCTTCCAGCCTTACTCATTCTGTGATTGTGTGAAGAATGGAAATAAGAGGCACTGCTTATACAAGGATGGTACGAGTAGGACCTGCTGTTTGCTTGACAGCATTTAATATGTTTCATTAGAGAAGCAACTGTTTTGTAACTACCTTAGCTACATACTTAAAATTTTATTTCTCATCCACAGTTATTGGCCTTTTTTTGAGAGCTGCATAGACCTGTTTAACATTCTTTTTATGGATGATTTTTGCTATCAAATGAAGAGTTGCAGTCCCTCATCTCACTGAATATTCTGATGCTTTAGTCTGGCATTTAGTGATCAGATTCTGTTGCAGTACATACAAAAATTGTTTGTTCAGAG